TACGAGTTTGGTCATTGTTTTGGGAATTTCGTTCGTTCGCTCTTCATTCTCTTTGAATACACACTTTTATTTCCGTTCTGCTTATTTCATTCTTCTCATTCTCCCGGTCTATGTGTACGTGTATGTGTCTTGTGAATGTGTATGAATGTTGTTTTCTTCTCATTTCGTACGCTAGACGCTTTTTTCCGGTGTGTCGTTTCGTTTTTTTTTTTTCATCTTTTCTGTATTAAAAATACAATGCGGCGCTCAATGAGCGAATTGTATAGAATAAATGGTGTATATTCGATGTTGCGTTCATTTTGTAGTGATGTGATTTCGAGACACTAACAGGTCATTTCTTCAGTTTTTCTTCGTCAACGTCGTCGTTGTCGCTGTTTTTCGCCAGGCCATGAAAGGTCATCCCCGACAACTGTTTGTCATTATATATGATCGCCAGTGGAATGTTCGGAAAACGAAGAAAAAAACAAGCACATTTCTGTGGTTGCGATGAACGGTTTTTCTTTTTTGGACGGTCACAATTTTGCTTTGTTGTCTACTCATTTTGCGGTCATTTACACCACACACATCAAGAATAGTTGAGTTTATTTCGACATTTTTTCTTTTTCTTTTTTTTGATAAATTGCACAAGGTTCAATCAGCTCATTTGTTGTGTATATGTGTCTGTTCGTGTTGCCACGAATTAAATAAGCAAAGACGAAGAGAAGAGGGAAAAAAACGACGCGATTTCATTTTGAAACCACAATGAAAATTAAATTTTTGCTCAAAACAACCAAATTATAAGACAATTTGATGACAACGACAACACAAGCCACCTTTTATTTACAAGCTCTCTCAATTGTGTGTGTACGCGCGGCCGCGGCCGCGGTTTTGCGTGCGATACATTTTCACTCTGTCGCCAATTTCTCGCTCGCTCTCTCTCGTGATGCGAGAAACAAAAGGCGTAAATTGCATTTATTCAACTAAACGAGAACAATGAACACACAACAACCGATTCGAAAGAATAGACGAACGAATCAATGAGCACGCAACGCCAACCGATTTGCATGGCAGCAAGCATCCGGCCGTATCGATCGAATAAAATGAAAATATTGCTATATAACTTGCCCATTTCATCTATCATTTAATCTAATTGACTATCGGCAATCGACCAAGTGTTCTTGGAGTGATGCTCTTTTTATTCGGTGATTTTTTCGATTTTGAACTTGTGCCTCGAGACAGAGACAGCCTTTGGGAAGACCATTTCTATGTCTCGAAGATTCACTCAATTTTGGGTCTTTCTATCGATTTTTGCTTTCTTCACTGGATTTTTGCATCATTTTCTATCGTTTTTTTTCGATCTTCGTACCATTTTCTATCAATTTCTGTCAAATTCATCCAAAAAAGTTCAAAATCCTCCTCACAATTTTGTTGAACGATTAACAACGAAGGAGATGAAAAAGAATCAAAATATTGTCAATTTTTACACTTAACAGTAGATTAAACAAGTTATGCGCGCAAAATTTCCGTACCAATTTGTTATCGAAAATCCTTCAAAAAATTTAATTAATCCTTTCCGCAAAGTTTGGGTGGGTTTGTGTACTAGGGTGTCGTGAAGAGAAGTCGGTGAGGAAAGGGGGGAAAGTCGGGTAAGTCCGATAAGTCCAAATTCGTGAGGAATGGCGAGAAATTAGTGAGGAATCGCGAGAAATTCGTGAGGAATCGGTGGAAGTCGATGGGGAAGTCGATGGGGAAGTCGATGGGGAAGTCGATGGGGAAGTC